TTTGAATTTGGGTTTGACCAATTCAATAAAAAAAAAAAAAAAACTAATTAAGACATGCGTGTCCATCAACCTTAAACAATAATCTTTGTCAATTTTATTTTTCAGTCTTTATGATGGTCGATACTTGATCTATCTCTATTGTTATATCCCCGGCAACGCCGGGCTCTACTGTTAGTATATATATATATATATATATATATATATATATATATATATATATACACACATCTCATTGTTCATTTGAAAATAGATTACCTTAAATATCAAGACTGAATAGAAGTTAAAATTGAACAGATGTAATTAATGCTTTCTTTCTTATTCTGAGGAATATATGGATCCATACCAATAGTGAGCACATTTGCAATGATCTGTTCAAGAAAATACCCTACTTCATTTTTTTTATCATTTCACCCCAAAAAAGGCAATAAAGCCACTAAGATGCAAAAGGTTACTGAGAAAAAATACTATTAAGGAGAGAGAACAATAAAAGAACAAAAATTAAGAAGACAGTACATAATGATTGACATTTCATTTAAATTTTTGAATATCAAAGTTGACTGGGAAGCAAGAAGCTGGAAGAGTTCCACAACTGTGAAGTGCAATAGAAGAAACTGTTAGCATAGAATTTATGGTTACATCTAGCCATTTCAACTTTAAAATGATGAGACCTTGCCACTAATCTTGTACTGTACTTAAATTCATAAAGTCTAGGTACCATTGAGGAAAGAATAATTACCATGAAAAGTATTTATAGAACTGCTATACTTTATCTTTACAAGAGCTAGCACAGATCAAAAATGTAGCAATGCTGCCATATCTGGGCTGGAACTGCACAATCATCAGCACTATCATCATGACAGAGTTCAGAATTGTTTACATGACCTTGTGGAAGATGACTTATTTTTCACTCTACAGGCCCTTTCCAACAGGTACAATGTTACAAGCCTATCACTACTTACATGGCAAATGTTAAGTTGAACTCCATCTTTTAGAGACACCAGTTCAGACCTTTACAGCCAAGACCCACCTTGCTACATCCACAGTGTTAAATCACCCTCATCTTCTACATATTTCTTTAGTAAGAAGTACATTCCACTTTTAAAGCTTCTTCCCAAGAAATGCAACTTTGTGGAACAGTCTCCCACATGGATGCTTCCCCAACACTACAATCTTAACCTCTTCAAGTCTAGGGTCAATCATTATCTATCTGCCATATATTCTCTTTCTATTTTCTCCTCTTACATTCATATCACACACCTCATTCAGTAACCTTCTACCTTGAGTGGCTCTTGGGCTTTGTATTGGATGAACTTTAGTAAAAAAAATAAGAAATAAAATGTTGACTACAAACTACTCTCACTATTACTGTGATGTCACCTCCTACCTCTTCTGTTTAATTCAGGGCCATGTTAGCATTTGAGTGTCATCAAATTGATGTTGTGAGTGACACATAATGAAAAACATGTTATGATTCAAGTATCCACTTTACACATGAAATTTTCATTTTTAATGATAAATGATAGGATCAAGGTATTAGCAATTTTGAATAAATTGTAATATTAAAAGTTGCTCATTAAAATACTGATTCATGACTAAAAATACTATTATCACCATATGTAAATATTTATGTCTATTTCTTTTAAAAATATCCTTAATGTGATTTTAGACTTACTAATGATACTGATTTGTATATGTTTTTGAGTATCAATAAAATTATGATGCATTTTCACTATTTTGACTTGAAGTATATAAAATTAAAATAATCTAGTGGAATCCTTATTTTAATGTCCTTGGTTTAGTTTTTTTGTTCAAGTTAAAAATTTTGTAGGCCATCTAAAAAAGCATTTTTAAATATCCATAGCATGTAAACTATTTAGAACAAAAGTAAACTAAAGCAAAACATAGTCCATTTGTATCGAAAATTTTAGGGGTACCAACTTTCAGCTTCATATTTTCTTAAGTATCAAATTTATAAGGTATCAAAATCAACAAGACCATGATTTCAACATGACAAGTTCTAGAAAAATGTTTTAACTCTAGACAGAAGTTTATTCACAAAATGAAACTTGATTTTCAGACATGTAAGAATATGTGGTAAAAATATAAAAATTCTTAAATTGTTTAACAGCTGATGTCATGAAAATAGGCAATGTTAAAAATTGAGCAATTTTCAAACAGTAATCCTTATATTTCTGTAAGTGAGATGAATATACTTCTGCAGAGGAATAATCTATTAGGTTGTATATAAATTATAGGAAAACTAATTTAGATACTGTATGTGATAGACTTGATAAATTGAGCAGCATCTTTTTGCATTTTGGCCATTTTCAGTTCCTTTTAAAAATAAAAGTATATTACACACACCTAAACTGTTTATATTTTTTTTAATCTACAGTAAACATTAACTATTTTCACCAAATAAAAGAATATTGTTGGAAACCTTATTTAGCAAAATTTCAAGATTCTCTGATTTTAAAATTATTAAAGATACAGATCTAATATTTGGGATTTATCTGTAATTTTGATCAAGTAACACATGGGAATTTTCCCAAATTTTTTTGAGAGGGTCACCTGTGGCTGTTAGTTGATTTGAGATAGAATGACCCTTGTTTATTACTTTGAGCAATGTTCTGAAGGTGAGTTATATGGCTGACCACTTGTTTCTGTGTATGCCTGTCTGTGAGGACTACTACTTAATCCCTGTTGCAAATGATCCACATGGGCACATTTAGTATTTGGATTTAATACTTTTTTAACACCCACAATACTCATCTTATCACTTTCAACAAGGCCAGTACACTCAAGTACTCATGCATAATGACTTACGACTTTATTCTAGCACAACTATTAGTGGTTATGATCTCAAAGAGGCTTCTCATCTTGAATGTCTATTGAGCCTAAAGTTCACTCTCAACCACAAATGGATTCCATATATTTGTGTTGTTGCCAAAGATGCTAGAAGATGCTAGATGCTTGAATCACTCCAGAATATACCAAACTCCTGCTTCCATGCTCTATCTTTAAAAGAGTTAGATCAGTCCATGGTATTGCTGCCATATCTGGACTGGAGTTGCCCAGTTCTCACTGTCTAGGCTTGGCAGAGATCAAAAGCACTTAGGTAGCCTTGTGGGTGATGAATTATCCTCCATCCTGCAACTCTTATCCCACAGAGTAAATATCACTATCATCTTGCTAATCTATTGCTATTACTATGGCAGATATCCAGACAGTTTACATTTCTTAGTTCAACCAACTCAGACCTTTGCAGCTAATACCTGCCATGCCATGTTCATGGTGTCAAATCATCCCCTGAATTGCTACTTTGTAGAACAGACACCTGAGAGAATACTTCCTTGACAACTATAGGTTTATGGCTATATCACCAAAGTTAAGTAATGTCAAGCCTGGTCAGTACCTAGATAGATGATAACTTGGGAATATCAGGTTCTGTAAGCTTGGATATGCTGATGGGGTAATGGCTTGGAATTGTTAATCAGAGAGCCGAGTTCCAATTCCCATTGGGTTTGTTATATTCACTTATGCAAAAATACCCTTGGGAAAGGTATGAATCCACATCTTCTCCAGTTAAGTAAAACTTGTATCATTAAACTATTATTATCCAAAAAAAAAAAAAATTCTTACAATCTAAAAGTATTTTTGGGCTTTAAATAACTTGCAAAGAGTTGATAAAGCTGTAGAAAACTTAAAAATCAATCAATCCTGACAACTAAAAGTTGGCTATCATCAACCAATATCTATCCTACATGTCCTCATATTGTGCAATACTTTCCCCCTCCCTTACAATTCCAATCATTAACTCTCTATCATGAATGAACATTGGGCCTTGTATTGGGTGAGCTAACAGTATAGAAAGTCTGTATGAAAAATGTAAAAAAATAATGTTCTTTTATGACAGGTATACAGACAAAAACTTGTCTTTCTACAGAATATAACTGTTGTTATTTGGATGATTATTATCTATACCATTGTTTTTTCTCAATATTTTTCTCTTTTTCAACACAATGAAAATGGAAGCAATAATCCCAAAATACATAGAACAATAAAAATGCTTCACCCAGTGGCAGATTGGTCAGAGTGTCAGCTTAATAAAAAGGAATAAGAAATAAAAAAAAAAAAATAGAACAGGACACCAAAATAAGCAGTGCATGAAAAAGAACAAAATAGGGAGGGTAGTGGAAGGATGGAGAATAGGTGGGTCTGGGTCAGGCATATCTAAGGAAATTCTATATTTTCACCAATAGTGTTTAAATTTGAAGATAGTTACAGTTTGTGATTTGAGATGGTTGGTAACTTCAAAGAATATCAAACAGTAGTCTTGATTCATTTGGTACGTTGGTCTGGCTTGCAGAAAGTCAAGAAGGGACTCATGAATCTCTGAAGGGCTCTTAAAAAATAGATAAATAAATCTCCTACTTCTTTCCTGAGTTTTATATTCTAACTTAAATATAATTGTTTTTAAAATGAGCAATACCAGATAAAAATGCAATAAAGAAACAAACAAATAATCACTCAGTATATGAAGGAATGAACCAGTGTTAAACAGATGTGAAAAAGAGCGGAGGTCTGTGGTGGCTGATTCATCCATTTTGGACATAGATAGAAATTCCATTTTCAGCAAGAGTGTGTGAATTTAAAGATAAAGTTACTGTTTGTGATTTGAGATGGTTGGCAACTTGAAAAAAATATCAAGCAGTACATACAATTGTGAGGTCACTGAAAAGTTGTGGGTGGGGCCCCCCCTTTGTCTTTTGGCAACTAATATTTTTAGACCCAGTCTGCCACTGGTTTCACTTCAGGACATTGCAAAACAAAATGAAATCACTTGTGTTTAATTGCTATCTTTTTTTTTTTTTATTTATTTCTCTGCTTAACATGCTTATTAACCTTTTTTTTCTTTTTAACTTTGTTTACCTTTCTACCTAACTGTGCATACTACTTTTACATGTTCTTTTTTTACACCCTCCTATCTCCTATCCCAGAGAAAATTTTATGGGGAACTCAAAGGCTTGTGCATTCAGAGTCTGATTTGGATGAAAGAATTGGTAAATATGAGTTTCTGGCCACTTTCTTTTCATATGTGGCATTCACTAATCCTTCTAGTTGCATGATAGTTTGGCACGTCTGTAGAATTGTTTCTTCTTTATATTTGTGTGTGATCCCTTGTGTTACTTTCTTATTTTGATTCACAAAGTTCTGCTTCAAATCTGAAGGCTTCCTTTTTTTAATCTTTTTTCAGGACATATAAAAATATACTAAGAACATATTTAAAAAAAAAACAATGGTTAATGTGAAATACTCAATCACTGAAGGATTAAAATATTTCTGATAATTTATTTAGATTATTAGCTTTCTTATTAGTTTGACATCCAAAGACAAATTGGGATTGCAAAAGATGGTTTCCAAAAGCTAAGCAAAGTATTAAGAAACAGAAAAATTTTCTTAGAAACAAAGAAAAGAGTACTGAACTGTTACATAATATTAATCCTCCTGTATGGCAGGGAATGCAAGACAATCTCCACACACAGGAAGAGGATGCTTGAGGTGAGAGAAATGTGGTTCTCCAGGAGGATGCTGAGGACACCATGAACCAAATATGTGAGCAACAACAAAGTTTTAGAGAAAATAGAAACAAAAAGGTAATTTAACATCAGGAACAGACCATTGAAATTTGTGGAGCACATAATGAGGAAAGAGGGATTGGAAAATCTGATACTCACAGGACAGATTGAATGCAAGAGGGACAGAGGAAATCAATGCATAATCTACTTAGTGAGCTTGAGTAAATGGATGGCAGAACATGGTTTAGGAGAAATAACAAAAAGAGAAATTTTATTAAAAGCTACAACGGACAGGAAATTGTGGAGAGCCATGATTGCATACATTTTGAAGGGACATGGCATATAGAAGAGTAGTTTAGTCAATAAAAGATGAACAGAAATTAAAAAATTATATTAATTGAGGTCTCTATACCTACATGGAAATGCCACATGAGCTGTAAGCTTGGATATGTAGGGGGTGTAATGGATAATGGGTCAGAATTGTTAATTGGAGAGCTGAGTTCCAATTTCTGGTGGGTTTGTTATTTTCACTTACATGCAAATACCCTTGAGAAAGGTATGAATCCATCTCTTCTCTCCAGCTATGGGTTAATTAGTAAAATTTGTATTCATTAAGCCATTATTATTCAAAAAATTCTTACAATCTAAAAACAAAAAAAATTATAGCTTTAAATATTTTGTAAAAGGTTGATAAGCCATAGAAAACAAATCAATAAAAAATAATTGCATATTTGAGAAGAAACATTTTAATATTCATTGAAATTGTACATTATAACTGATTAAATCATATAAAATACTACTGAAAATAATAAAATTTCACACTAAGGATTTTATTGTTTAAAGGGCATTTATACTTAGAATCAGAAAGAGACAATTGAAATTTGGAGGACACATAATGAGAAAAGAGGGCTTGTAGAATTTAACACTCAAAGGACATGTTGAAGGCAAGAGAGATAGAGGAAAACAATGAGTAACCTACCTAACACACTTGTGTAAATGAATGGGAAAATAGGGAATGGAAGGGATAGTAAAAAGGCAAATATATAAAGGATAAGAAGTCACCAGGGCCATAATTGCCACATCCTGAAGAAATCAATTGCCACATTCTGAAGAAATCATTACATAACAGAAGAAATCATTGCAAATGTTATTTTACTAAATGCATAAATTCTGCATATATCCTAATTTATTTAATGTTAACTTTTTTCTTATTTTAAATGTTTTTGTATGTTTTTTTAAAAAATTATTTCTGAAATGGTAAGAAATGTCCTCTTTTATTTCAGTTTATGACTTTTATTAAAACTGATTGTTGATTTTTACATATACTTCTCTGCTCCTGTGAAATGTGTCATTGTTGTATTACTGTTAATATTTTGTGTTGATTCTATTGTATTCACATAAAGATCAGAAAGGTTATAGTGGTCGATTACATCAGGAAGTTAATTTGGACTTTTAATACAATATAAGAAATGACTGACTTTACATAAATTCAAATATGTGATAGATCAGAATTAATTTCATGTTTTCTTTTCTTCATTTTTGCTAGTATTTTTTCATATTATTTTGATTAAATCTTAATTTAGCACAACTTTGCCTTTTTTTGATGGACTTTAACAATCACATTATAATATGGACATATTTTTTTTGTTTTTAAAATGGCAATTGTTTCTTTGCTAATGATACTACACTGGATTTTAATAATCACTGGATTTTCAGACTTTCTGTTCATTGCATTGTAAAATGAATTTATTGATTCTCTATTATGTGTTGAGCTGTTGTTAGATAGATTTACTTCATTTCAGAAAGAAGAGCTTTATTGAAAATATTTTCCTTTTTATCATTTTATTCAGATATTGTTGATTTTTATAATACTATAATAATGTTGATTTTTTTATAACACTTTAATAATGTTGATTTTTTTATAACACTTTAATAATGTTGATTTTTTTTATAACACTTTAATAATGGTAATTTTTTTATAACACTATTTCATAATAATATTGCTGATACTTATAGGTTTTAGACTGATTGCTAGATGAATAAGCCTTTTTTTAAGTTTAACACCAATTACTTTGATTATTAGGATGAAGAACTGAGTTATACCTTGCATCATTTGGCTCTTATTGCAAAATATGGTATCATATCTTCAATCATTGTTTATTTATGATTATTAACCCTTTCCAGACTGAATTTATTTTAAAATTTTACCAGTTTTAAGATAATTCAAATTTAAATTCACCTTGTGAGCTGACGATACAAGTTAACCTCTTCATAAGATACAATATATGCAGGCCTATTGCCATAGGCAGTTTTATTGATGGTTTTAGTCATTTTTATTGAAACAATAGACAATAAAATTTGATTAGCTATTGAAGAAAAGTAAAAAAATACATCACTAATTTTGAAGCATACTACATAGAAAGCTATGCTGCTTAGACTGATTCAGTAGTATACCCCTTTATGGTCAATTGGTATTATTAGATTTAGTTATAAAAACATGTTTGGTGAACCAGATCCATCTGGAAACAGTTAATATTTGTTTTTACTTACCTAACCACTGTATGCCTAACACTTTCCAAATTACACTTATCTTTCATAAATTACTTTTCATGAATCTCTTAATGGTTCTATTGAGCTAGAAAAAACACTTTTCCATTCAGTGTCAAAAAGTAAATACAAATACTAAAATTCTATTATTTACATGTGGACTATTATCTTCATATTTGTTGTTGTTATCACAGCTTTTCAGCCATTATGCTCTCCAACCATTATCAGGTGTATGTCCATCTATGTAACCTACAATTTTGAACTGAACTCTTTATTTAATCTATGGGGATAAATTGTTCTCATTTATCTGCATAAGTCTCAGGATATATTATATAGTTCTTGTTTTTTTTTTCTCTCTCTCTCTCTCTCTCTCTCAAGTGCACATTGCCTTAAATTCACAAGCTGACTCTATCCCCATCCCCTGTAGATTAAATAAAGGGTTCAGTTTGAAATTTCCAGTAGATTATTGACATACACCCGATAAAAGTCAGTGGGCACAATAGCTGAAATGCTGTGATAACAATAAAAATGAACACATTAGTTCTCATATAAATAATGATAGTACCTCATCCCAGAATTTCAGACAAAAATTCCAACATTAATTAATATACTTGCCACAATAAGAATTTTTCCATGGACAATGTGTATTTTAAAAGTCTAAATTATAATATTAAACAGAACAGTAACTTATAAAAGAAGGAATATTTTATATAAGAAATGTTGTTTACTGATGTTCTTGAAATTTAAAGATGATGGTCATTTTTTCCATTAAGCAGTTGTGATTAAAGCAGTAAGCTAATGTTTAAAAAGCATAAATTATAGGATTGTTTCTACAATATATATATTTTTTAGGGTTATCTATAATTTGCAAAGATGCTTTATAAGATTTGCTGGTCATGTTCATAATAATAATACTAAAACTAAAAGCTTTTCTGGTGAAATGCATCAAATGTGAACAAATCCATAATCATGTTTTTTTTTTCTTTTTTCTTTTTTCTTTTTCTTTTTCTTTTTTCTTTTTTTCTTTCTTTTCTTTTTTCTTTTTTAACTCAAAGTATTTTTGAATATCTCTTGCCTGTTGGTGCTTAGCTTTTGTGATATGTATTTTATTTTCAACTTGTGCAGAGATGTTTAAATGAATTTTCTATTTGATTTTCATATGATATGGATTACTCTCCTTTGCCAAAAATTTTGAAAAACTAAATGATAAATTTTAAATGTTAGCTAAGAGAATATAATTGAAATCATTACTTATATATATAGAGAGAATATTACAACCATATTTGATGGCATATTAACCTCTTCTCTATTTCAGTAAGCAGTATTAGTGTATGATATTTAGTGTATCTATGGATAAGCATTCTATATGTCTTCTACTTCTATGTGCCATGTCCATTCAGGATGTTGATGATCATGGCTCTCCACAATTTCCTGTCCTTTTGTAGCTCTTAATAACTTTTTGCTGTCTCTCACAAACCCTTCTCTGCCATCCATTCACTTAAGCTTGCCAGGTAGGTTCTCTGTTGCTTTCCTCTGGCCCTCTTACTTTCAACTGTCCTGTGAGTATCAAGTTTTCTGAGCCCTCTTTTTCATTATGTACCACAGAAATTTCAACTGTCTTCATGATATCAAGTATTTGTTGCCATCATTTCTAGAATTTCGTTGTTGTTCACATGTTCAGTCCATGGTATTCTCAGCATCATTCTATTGAGCCACATTTCTGTTGCTTCAAGTCTCTTCTTCAACTATGAAGAGATTGACCAGCATGAGAGGACTAATACAACATAACAGTTCAGTACTCTTTTCTTTGTTTCTCACAATATTTTTCTTTTTCTTAATACTTTACTTAGATTTTGGAAGGTATCTTTTGCTATCCAAGTGTGCCTTTGGATTTCCATGTCACACTTTCTGTCCTCTGTTAATACTCTTATCAGATATCTAAATTGTTACACCTGTTTTGCTTTTGGTATCTCCAATCCATAATTTGCATGTTGAGTCCTTTCTTCTCACTTTCCTTCACCACCTTCTGTAGGAGCTCTTGTTGTTTCTTTTCTGTATCTGCTATCAACACCATGTCATTTGCATATCTTATTTTGTTAAGTTTGTGGCCACCAATAATGAATATTGGTAGGACTTCTAATCCTCTTAAAATAGCCTATTCCAAAAACAAAAGCAAAGAACTAAATCATTTTATTAAATAGCCCATGTTTAGGGAATATTTCATATCAGTTCATACTCATCAGACTTATTCACCTTTGTGTTACTTACTGGTTTCTATGCTTTTTACTACACTATGGTATGTGTCTCTTGGAAAATTCAGTATGGTGAGTTTGGAGCTCTAAACCTAATGTCTGTACTGAAGTTGTGGAATTTTTATGAGTGATATATTGACCCAATCAAACATTCCCACTTCAGAAGAAAACCTACCCAAGAACTGTGTTTATTCCATCCCATGCAATTGTGGCAAGGAATACAAGGAGACCAACTGCCTCCTAAAAGTAATGGTGAAGGAACATTGAAAGATTGCAGTCCAGGGAGAAACATGGAAGTCGGGTATTGCTGATCATATATTTAGTGAAAAGGTTGGTCATCAACTCTATTGAATGAAGTCAAGATAATAAAGAACAACACTAAAAAAGTCAGCACATACATTTGGCACTGAAAATTTCCTCAGTAGACCTAACATAGAGAGCTACTAATTAAGAAAGAACACTAAAAACAACTAAGTAAATAAAATAAAATAATTCCACCACCTGAGTTAAGAAACTTAGTATAAAAATTTAAATATCTTGGAAGTATTTTAACAGAGGATGGAAAATGGGACACTGAAATTTGAAGTCACATTGGGAGAGGCAAAGATGTATTCCAAAAGCTAAGCAGAGTATTAAGAAACAGAAAAATTTTGTTAGAAACAATTAAAAGAGTATTGAACTGTTATGTGATAGCAGTCCTCTTATATGGCAGTGAATACTGGACAATCTCAAAGATGAAGAAGTGACTTGAAGTAACAGAAACATGGTTCTACAGAAGGATACTGAGGATACCATGGACCGAACATGTGAACAATAACTTTTTAGAGAAAATGGAAACAAAAAGGAAACTTATAATTAACATCAGGAAGAGAGAGTTGAAATTTGTGGGTTACATAATGAGGAAAGAGGGCTTGGAGAATGTGATACTCACAAGACAGACTGAAGGTAAGTGGGACAGAAGAAAACAATCCATAACCTACTTAGTGAGCTTCAGTAAATGGATGTCAGAACAATGTTTAGGAGAAATAACAAAAAGAGAAAATTTATTAAGATTTATAAAGGATAGGAAATTGTGGAGAGCCATAATTGTCTGCATCCTGAAGGGAGACAACACACAGAAGTATAGCTTAACTACCTGAATACATACATTAAATTTAAGGTTATAGAATTTCACCAATACATTGGTATAGTCAATTAATAAAATTAATATCTATCTTAATTTGATCATCCTTTAATTTAATGCCTTCTCAGAAGTTGAGAAAATGATGGAAAAATACCATAGAAACTTTTAAGATAAGGAGTTATCATTATAAATGTATCATTATAAATGTATCATTAGAACTGTGTGTATTCCATCCTATGCAGTTTTGGCAAGAAAAACAAAGAAGAGATCATCTGCCTTCTAAAAGTAAAAGAACATTGAAAAGATGTTTTCCACAAAGATACCATAAAATCCATCATGGCTGATCATATATGGAGGGAAAAGTGTTAGTCATCAACCCCTGTTCAATAAAGTCAAGATGATAGACAAAGAAAAACACTGGAGGATAAGATGTTGGAAATAATTAGCATACATTTTTGGCACTGACAACCGCCTACACTGAGCATGAATACCATCTGGAAACCACTGGTTAAGAAAGAAAGGACATTAAAAAATTCTACTGAGAGTGCTGGTATTAGGTTTAAGGCTTCAAATGTACACCACTGGATTTTCTTAATGACATGGTCTAGTGGATAAAATGTATCTAGTTTCCTAGCAGTTATGACTTCAATCCCAGGGTGGGATAGTGCTGAAAAGTCACATACTTTTGTTCAGTGGAAAAAAAACTGACTAGTTACACAGTGGTGATTAAGACTGGTGACTGATATGAAATATTTCCTAAGTATAGAAAGCAGATTCTACAGAAGGATACTGAGAATACTATAGCCTGAACATGGGAGTATTAATGAAATTTTAGAGAAAATGGAAACAAAAAAGGATACTTAGAATCAGAAAGAGAATTAAAATTGTTAGGCATATAATGAAGAAAGAGGGTTTGAAAAATTTAACACTCATTGGATATGTTGATGGCAAGTGGAACAGAGGAAAGCAGTGAATAACCTACCTAGCAGGCATGTTTAAATGGTTGGCAGAACAGGGATTAGGAGAGATAACAAAAAGACATATTGGTAAGAACTACAAAGGATAAAAAGTTATGGAGGACCATGATCGCCCATGTCCTGAAGGGAGATGGCACATAGAAGATGGAAAACAGAATGAGAACAATTTACCAAATTCCAAGAAAGTTACTAAGTATGATGACAGACACTTGGAGAAGGCTGGAGAGTGCAGCGACACAGATGAGCATGCCAGTCTGAATAGCAAGACAATCAAGAATATGATTTATAAATTTCTATATATCAGAACACAATGTTAGGTAAATTAAGGAAAAAGTTGAAAAAAAATCTTTGTAACATGCTTCATCCTCTAAAAGGACTTCATTTAACTTATTGACTTATTGATGGAATCATATATATGTGGAGAGTGGGAAAAAAAGATCTACTTGTAAACACCAGTTATAATTATGCACCAAAGAGAAATACAGAAGATGTAGGAATGCTAGACTTTAAATTTTTTTAATTTTAGATCAGCCCTATCTCTTATATACAGGGTGTTATGGGTAAATTGTCGCCATTTTATATTTTTAATTTTGAGTATGCACGTTGTTTGTTTTTGATTTTGTTAACTGCACAGTATAGTAGGGTCAGTTGGGCACCATCTGAGAGAAAAAGAACATCATGACACAATTCACTCCACCAGAAATTTAGAAACAGCATGCTGTACTGCTTGGAATTTGCACCAGAAGCTCTAGTATCAACATTTCAGAGTATTTGGGTGTCAATCTGAGGATAGATAAAAGGATTCAAAAAGTGTTTGATGCATCTGATAGTAATTCTGAAGGTATGGCAGCTTGGAAAACTCATTCTAATTATTTTAATAGGAAAAAACTCCCGATTTGTGGGTGAGGGCCTCAGACACTTGAGGAGGTAGTGCTGCCCTGGGTCAATAGGGTGACTGCTGGAAGACCCTATGTCTTGGCAACAGGACTCTGCACCATGCCACATAAACAGGAGAATGCAGTCATGGCTGTCAGACAATTTCTATGACCGCATCACTCGTTACATCTGGCTACCTAACTCTCCAGACCACACCCGCCTTGATTATTATGTGTAGGGTGCAATTGAGCAAAATACCAACAAAACTCCTTGTAACACTAAAGATGAACTGAAGGCAAGTAGTATGGCAGCATTCACCAACTCAGACAAGGAGACTGTCCAGAAGAGTTGCAGGAGATCCTGAAATCGTCTAGAGGCAATGGTTGAATCCAGTGGCGATTTTATTGGATAAATTTACTCTTTAGTATTTCAAGATATTTTTGTGTATTTTTGGTAAATATATCTGTTAAAATGAGATGTCAGTATTATTTTCATTTTTGCATAATTTAGAAAACAACTTATCCACTGCAGCCTGTATAATTCCATCAATAAAAACATTAGTTTGATGAAGTCCTTTTAGAGAATGAAAATTACATAGAATGACATTACATAAAATTATTACAATATGACATTACAGAGAATTTATTACACTTTGTCATTTAATTACCTAAAATAGTATTGATCAATAGATTTTGTTTTGTATGGCTTATCAACACTTTATATTTTATTTAAAGCCAAAACATTTTTTAGATTGTAAGAAAAATTCATTGCATATAAGACCCAGGTATATTTTTTAACCTTTTGAAAGAGTGGGTCTTGTATGCCAACAATATGGTATTTTGTATTTTTTTTGTATTAGAAACTAAATAAGTTTTTATGGCAAGGAAAGTCTTTAAAATGATATGTACATTAAAAATGTTTTTCTGATATTTTTATCCATAAAGTACTCAGCATTGCCTGGTACTTTACAATCATATTTCTGTCTCTTAAGGGACTGTAATTATGATGACAGTATTTTGTATATATCTGTATAATCATCTATTTTTAAAATAATCTTGTAGGTATACAGCCAGCTGAAGGTGGACAGCATTCCTATGGAACTATCAACAGAGATTCTCATAGTAAGTGGGTTTAAATAAACATCTTTAATGTCTCCTTCCTCTTTCTCCTCAATTCTTTCTTTCTCATTCCAGGGATCTCTCTCCTCTTGCTTTTGCCTTTACTGTCATTTTATGCTTTTCTTTCATTCTACAAGTTGTAACATAGCTTTTGACTAAATTATTATTTAACTTGGTTCTCAAGTATTCTTTTTTCACAGTTGAGTTGGCTTGATGTAACCATAAATTCTACGCTAATAGTTTCTTTTCTCACTTGTGGAACTTCCTTCCAGCCCCATGCTTTCCAGCCAACTTCAATCTTCAAAAATTTAAATACAGTATCAATCACTATCTGCTGTCCTCCTGATTACTCCTCTGTTGGTCTCACTCCTTCGCAATAGTTGTGTTTCTAATTCTTCCATACCCAGTAGCCTCTTGTGTTTTAGTGGCATTATTGCATTGCATGGGGTAAACTCCATTTAAAAAAAAAAATTAACTAGACTATATTGCATTGTGATGTTTTGAATAAATATGATTCTCTTTCTAATGAGACAACTGAAAACAACATATTTTGTGGTGGCTTACAGCTATATCATGTTGAATCACTGAAGTTAACAAATGTTGAGCCTGGTCAGTACCTAGGTGGGTGATCACTTTAGAATACCAAGTGTTGTAAGCTTTCATGTGCAATGAAAGCTTACAACACTTGGTATTCTAAAGTGATCACCCACCTAATGTGGTCTAATCAATGATGGCCCAAAATGATAAATTTGAGAAAAGTGGGGTTCAATAGCTTCCAATCCTCACTTATTCATGTTGGAAAAATATGATTCTATTTTTAATGAGATAATTGAAAACCACACATTCTGTGGCTTGTTATGGTGTACAGCAGCTTCTACTCTTCACTCATTCATGTTGCCAGCTGACATAACCTCACAGTATCAAGCTGTTTTTTTCCTAGTCACTTATTTGATGTCAACAATTGTATAGGGTGAAGTGATTTGCATATGCATATACCAATTGGTAATGCCATTCATACACACATTCTCACAATATAGCACTAGGCAATAAATTCAAACAACATAGAGCTGCTACCATTTTTGCTGACAAGATTGGTTGCTGACAAGATTGGTTGCTGCTCAATTGATTTCTATAGATTGGTCCCAGTTACTATTTAAAACTTTATTTTAATTAATTCACCTCAAGCGAGGCAATAAATGCTTCTAATATGTAAGGGGTTACTTTTTTCTTTTTTACAGTAAGGTTCACTTTGTACAGGGCCCAGGGGCTGCTCAATGTAGAGGGTTACATTAACCCTTTGAGCCCTGAATTCCTTAACCCTTCTGCCTGAGAACCTAAGTCAAAATTCGCAAATAATTGATATGTAATGTTTCATAATAGATATAAACTGGTGGCTGGGCATTAAGTCATTTATCTCTACCACCAGTAAAGCGATGGTCAGGGATCAAAGGGTTAATAGGCAGTTTATATGGATAGGAAGGGAAGATAACAGTTACCTCTAGACTTGAACAGATTAAGATTGTAGTGATCAGGGAAACATCCTCCTCTTGGAAGTCTGTTCCACAGAGCAGTGGCTTGCAGGAAGAAGCTGTTCAGTTGAAACTTACTTCTCACTAATGGAATACAGAGGGAATGTGGGTGGTTTGCTACATGAGAAAACATTAGAAGGAACTGGAAACCTAAACAGGGAGCAAGGAATAAACTTCTTCATTTTCAAAAGACTGGGGAGGAGAGTGAACTGGATGATAGACAAACCTATTTACTCCTATTGAGGAATAAATGAATAAAAAAATAAATAGTAAATAAAATTTCAGAGTTTAAGTGGAGACATGAGAAGTATAGTGTTGAAGTAGACTTTAGAAAGTACTAAATAGGAAGTCAGGGATAAACCGCTATTCCTGTTCAAAAAGCCAGGAAGGAGTATGAACAGGACAATCCTATCTACTCCTATTGAGGAATAAATAAATAAAAAGTAAGTAATAAATAAAAACTTTGTTCTATCAGCATGACTGATGCTAACCTCCAGAAGAGTGACGCCTTCCTCCTTCTCGGGCTAACATTTTCCACTAACATGAAGTAGAAAGATTATATTGAATCAGTTGCTACGTCTGCTGCTAGGAAAGTTGGTTCACTGTGTTGTGCTAGAAGATTTTTCTTGCCAAAATCTATCATGCACATTTATAAATTTACCATTTCTCCATGAATTGAATATTGCTGTCATATATGTTCTGGTGCTTCTGCTATACATTTAGAGATTCTTAGTAAAATCCAAAGAAGAATCTGAAATGTTATTGGTCTTGACCTGGCATCTTGCTATCAGTCATTTTAAAACTGCTGTAATGTAGCTTCCCAGTGCCTTTTCTATAAATACTTTCATGATAATTGTTCTAATGAACTTTCTTCTATGGCACCTAGACTTTATGAATTTAAGAACAATACTAGATTGGCATCAAGATCTCATCATTTTACAGTTGAAATGGCTAGATGTATTCATAAGTTTTATGCTAACAGTTTCCTCTATTGCACATCTCACTTGTAGAACTCTCTTCCAGCATCTTGCTTCCCAGCCAACATTGATCTTTAAAAATTTAAATGCAATGTCAATCCTTATTTTCTGTCTCCTTAATTCTTGTTCTTTTATTGTTCTCTCTCCTTAATAATATTTTTTCATACTCCCTAACACTCAGTAACCTCTTGTGTTTTAGTGGCTTTATTGCCTTGCTTGGGGTTAAAGGATTAAAAAAATGAAGAATGTTTTTTCTTTATATTTCAGTATTTATTCATATCTTGCAAAGAAATATTGTACTGCAACTGGCCTACATTGTTAGGACTATAAGAACAGACATTTTAAAAGTGTATATATATATATATATATATATATATATATATATATATATATATATATATATATATATATATATATATATATATATATATAAAATAAAAGGGAAAGAAGAGTAAGAATAAAGAAAAAATTATTACTCATCATAAAGTTGTGGACTGAAAAATATAACAAAAACAATAAAAAGTGTTAACCAGTCATTGCTCCTTATTCTTTTGAAGTAAATCAGGAACAAAATATATAAATATATGTAAAATGAATAAGAAAGTGAGAGGAAAAATACTAGAGAATCTGCAGTATAAATCACAGACAGATTACATTTAAACTCAGCAGTCATTCCTTCTGCTTACATAGGGAAGGCTGGATAGACTTAATATAAATGGTCTCAAGCATTCTTAGATGGTAATTTATAAGAGTGTATCATCTTCATCATCACTCCCATGACTGGGTGTGGTTATAGGGTCACTGCACAGCTGAACACATGAGTAGTTCCTGCCACATATCTGGTTTGAAGGACAGTTTAGGTGTTCATTCATTCATAGCAAGTAAACCTGAAAGAGCCCCTCTCCAGTTCAAACCACAGCCAATGTTGTCCAACTTGAAGAATTGCTTTAGTCATGGACATATGGTCGTTTATTTCATTGGGTCAACATGCTGGGCATTTGACTTCGGTCTTGGAAGTACTTCACCCAGCCATACTGTGTCATCACTGCACTGGCTGTATATATAACTATGGATCCCAGTCTGCCCCATTGTGCTAGGAGACCATTGCCAGATTTTTTAATCCTGCTAGGTGTCTAACCACTCTGGTGAGAGATGATTCTACCATGTAGCAGATAGTACTGAGTTACTTATATGAGTGTATACATAAAAATAAAATGGAATAATGATGCAAAAAGATATTATATTAGCCATATAGACTGTCAGTAGAAAATAGGGTCTAGGTGTTGCTTCTTGTAAAAAGATGCATGATAAAAATATCAAGTGAAAATAATGGGTAAAGTAGAAGATACCAAGTACTCATTTCTGTTTTTCATTGTCTGAAGATGCTGTGAGAAGTTATTGAAATATTAGCATTAATAACCATGTTTGTTAATCAGTGATTAACAAAAAGTATTAAAAAATAATTTGATCCTTTAAAAGATGAAAAGATATACCCAGAATCCACATGAATAAAATCCATTCACAACATTCTACACAAAGACACACATATACACATAACACACAAAAAAAAATCAACCTAACACCAATAAATAGTACATAAATTATTTTTAACTTAGTATTGCTGAGACCTCCTGATGAGTGAACCAAACAATTACAAAAACATTTCTCTATGAAAATCTGGAGACACTGAATATGACATCAATCCACTAAGTGACAAATATATATATATGTGTATGTGTGTGTGTGTGTGCATGTATAGGGTGTACCAGAAATACTTTTCAAACTTTGTGGGCAGTTTCTTCACACCAAAACAAGGACAAAAGTCCATATATAAACATATGCCCACAAATCCTTCATTTTTGAGTTATTAAGTTTAAAAAACGTTTACAGTAGATGGCATTTTGTTGCCATTTAGACTAGGTTACATTTGTCATTTATGTACATTTGTGACTAGATGTCTTCAATGTTTAACATGTGTACTAGTGAGTTAACTGAGAAGTGTTCTGTTTAACAATGGCAGTTATTCATATCATGAGCAGACAGATATGATTTTACATATGGCCACGTGAATGGTAATGAATGTGAGGCTGCACAGTTGTAATAACATTGCAGCCCAAAAGCCATGCCTGAACTCAGGGTCATTATTTTTGCTCCAGCATTGTATGATTTCTATGTTGGATGTACTTTGGCATCAATTTTTCATTTATGGAGGTTTTGTTGAAGAACATTAAAAGTTCCTTGTTTAGATTTTTTAAATTTTTCTTTCATTCTGTTGGGTATTGCACCCTAGATCAATGAACTTTTTCAACAAGAGTCTCAAGGATATTTGCACATAAGTGAATATAATGAAATCAATTGGAATTGAAACTCGGCTCTCTGATTTCCAATTCCAAGCCATTATTCATTAAACCACCCACACATCCAAGCTTAAAGCACTTGGTATTTCCAAGTCATCACCCACCTAGGTACTGACCAGGCTCAGTGTTGCTTAACTTAT